CTAGGCTCGGTGTTAGACATAGTTTAAAAAGAAATTTTATATTTAAAATTTTGTAACGATTTGTTTATATTATATCAAACAATTATTTTAATTTAAATTTTTACTATTCTTGATCACTCTCTCAAGCCTAAGTCCAAATGCATCTTTGGGTTTTGAAAGTTTTGTAATATTAGTAAAATACAATATTTAATATGATATTTTGAAATAAAAAATAGGTAGTGAAGAGTGTTTTCTATTTAAAAAAATATTACTTTATATAACTAGTGGCATAAATATTTTTTTGGTGCATGTAAACAAAGTGCATTTATATATATATATATATATATTATCTATGTATGTTTTATTGCTGAAAATATATTCCCTATAGCCTGTCAGATCTCGGACGATAAAAATTTGTTGTAATTATATATTGGGACTCCCGTTTGTAAATATATGATTAATGACATCGTCTTCTTAACAGTTCAAACTTCTAGGTGAGATGGTCATTAAGCATCCGACATGATATCAGAGCTTTATGCATGTGCAAGTTTCGCATACTTCCATCTTCCTAACAGTTCTCACATTTTAGGTGAGACGGAGGTAAAAATAATAAAAGACTAGAGCCTAAAATAAATATTGAAAATTAAAACATAAATTTAATCCTATTTAAAATATTAAAATTTTAATTAAATGAAAGATATGGAATTCAAATGCAATAAATTCAAGGAAAATAAATTTAAATGATAAAAGGCAAGAAGTTAGAAAAAGGAAAATATAAATAGATGAAATTTGAGAGAAATATATGTGTATATATTATTGGGATTGTGTCAACTCAATACTATATAATATTGTCTTCTTCCAAAAATGCCTCGCCCCAACATATATGGGGTTCTCAACAATAGTAGATCTTGAATGATCTGTTTAATATTCTCATTATTGTTGCTATCGATTGCTTTATTGAGTAGGAATCAAGTCCTCGTTGCGGCGGTAGTGGCAGTCACCGTTGCCACCGGCGTCCTCGTCATTTCCTCTTAAACCTATAATTGAATGAGTGTTCTATGTACTTTATGCTTTTGTCCTCGTCATTTCTTCTTAAACCTATAATTGAATGAGTGTTCTATGTACTTTATGCTTTTTAACATAGTTATAGAAAGAATATTGGAATTGGATAATCAAAGTATGAAATATATATTCAGAAAATATCATTTTATTATTTGCATAGATTCTTTTTGTGTTCTAACTAATTTGAGTTTGTTCTCTTATTAAAAGAGAATTAATTATGTTAAATTTTTTTTTTTATATAAAAACACAGTATGAAATATATACTTTAAAATTACTATCTTATTATTTGCATACGCTTTGCTGGTGTTTTAACAAATATTTTCGTCAAAAGATAATTAATTATATCATTTTTTTTTATAAAATGCACTGTAATTGCATAAGTTGCGTTAAATATATATTTAGAATAAGAAATATATCCCAAAAAGCACAATAATATTGTGTGCATAGGATCTTAGGGAGTTTGTCCTCGTCACTAAAGAATTAATTATATTCTTTTTATAAAAACACTGTATTTAAATAATTAGAGGTTGAAATATATATTGAGAAAAAACACAATATTATTATTCCATAGTCTCTTTTTGTCTTTTCTGTATCATTGTTTTTAGTGTTGTCTTATTAAATTTTTTTTCTAGACACTGTTAATTATCTTTCAAAAGTATATAGCAAAATGACGAAATTAGGTTTATTAATTATTGACTATATATATAATAATGATAAAATCGAACAGTTAATATTCAATCAAGACTTTGTATATATATTGGTATTTTGTCATTTCAATTGACTTTCTATTTACAAATTACATCAACTTCTCTTTAAATTTATAGTCAACTGTTGTACTCGTAGATTGGTAGGAGTGTATTCAATTTAAAACTTAAAATTTAATATTCAATTCAAAAGTTTAAAAGTCTATATATATAAAAAATTAATACTATTCAATCAAAAAATTTGAAAAAAAAATAAAATATATAAGTATTCAATAATTTATAGACTTTGAAATTTTATAAATTTTATTAGATTTTCACTCAAAATTATGAAGATATTATAATATAGGAAATCTTACATAATGATTAGAGATTTCAAGGAATTTTCTCGTAATTTTGAAAAAAATTCTTGAAACTCTTACGTGGTTTCCATAATTGTTTGAAAATCTCATCTACTTTTAAAATTACTTCTAAAATCCCATATAATCTACTCATGATTCTCAAGATATTGCAGAAAAATTTTCATCATTATATTTAACCGTGGTTGTAAGTCACGCGCCCAAACTTCAATTTTTAGTACTAAATTTGATATAATACTATATGAACTTACAAAAATACCCTCATTAGTTTTATTAAATATAGTCTCTTCCCTTTATTAACCTGGTTTATGGAGCTTTGTTGTTCCTCAATCTATTTGTTGGGACTGGGTCAACTAACATTCGTACGATATTGTCCGCTTTAGAATGAGTCTGCACGAATTTGTTTTCGGACTTTCTTTAAAAATACTCATACTAGTGAAGTTTATTTCGAACTTATAAGTTGTTAGATTTTCTTCGCATCTTCTAATGTGAAAGTTTGTTTGCACTTTAACAATCATCCCTCAAACCAAGAACCAACATATGGGTCTTTTCTATCCACCTTGCACCGTCTATCACAAAGGGACTCGCTACCTGACCAACCACAACTGTTGGGACCGACCGTTCAATCGACCAATGCCAGGAGACTTTCGATGCAAAGCACCTTCGCAAGTCACGAGGGCTTCCCACAACCACAACTAATGTATGATGCCACAGAGTCCACTTCACCCTCTGATACCACTGTTCTTTTTCTTCTTTTCATCGAATATATGTATATACACACATATATATATTTTCATTTTTGAGTAGTCGGTTCATATGTAATTTGATTTGCTTTCTTTTATTTCTAGGGTAAAACCAACACTATTCGCATCGTCGATTCTTCTCAACCCACAACACTATCAGCTTCAACGAATGTCGAGCTCCGTTGTTCCTCTTCTCACCTTCGATCTAAAACTTTTATTTTTGTGGTGGTGAAGTTGTTTGGGTAATAGATGTCGAAAATTTATTTTTGCAAGGTGAAATGAATTTGGGTAACTAGATGTCGAAAACTTAATTTTTTTTTTGCTTTGTTGAGATATTTTAGTTATTTAGTTTTAAATTTATTAGATTTATATTTATATTTGATTTTATCCTTAAATTAGATTATTTGAATTTGAGTCTACGGAGTTTGTATATTATGTTTATTTATAAGCCTCTATTTTGGTTATGAATACAATGCAATTTTTGAGTCTTTATAATTTATTTCTCACATGGTATCAGAGCCTATTTTTCTCTTACCGTAGATATAGTCTACCAATCTGCGTTTCTCCGAGTACATTCAACCTGGAATGTACCCAAAGGTCTTCTAATTTTGAGATTTTAACCATGTGTTTCTCGAGAGTGTTGTTGTTTCCGACTCCATCGAGAGTGCCGCTGTTTCTGACTCCATTGAGAGTGTCGTTGTTTCTGACTCCATCGAGAGTGCTGTTGTTTTCGACTCTATCGAGAGTGTCGTTGTTTCCGACTTTATCAAAAGTATCATTGTTTCTGACTTCATCGAAAGTGCCGTTGTTTCCAACTTCCATTTTGAATTTAATAAACGTCATCTAACCCACCACATATTCCGTTTCCATTACCATATTATCCGTCTTTCCACTTCGAATCCCTATTCCCAAATTTGAATACAAGTGGTGTAATAGCCTAGGCATGTAAAGTGACAAAAAAATGAGTTTGTCCGTTGGAAAAACAAAGGTCAGCTACGAAACATTTAGGAGATTTTGTTAAAGAGAGCATTTTGGCTTCTAAGCAATGTCTTTACTCTCTTGTACGCATTCAAACAACAATATTTTCGCACTTTCAATCATTTTATTATTATTATTATTATTATTATTATTATTATTACTACTACTTTCGTCCGGCTCTAAATGTTTTATTTATTTTTTGTGTGTTGATATTTAAATATTAATTATTATATCAAAATATTGTACAAATAAATAAAAAAATTGTAAAAATAATTCCATTCGTGTCTTATAATACTAGTAGAAAGACATTTGTACAAAAAATTATACAAATATAAAGATATTTTTAATGTTAAGTAAATGTGATCCTTAAAACGAATGGAGATAATAATAATAATAATAATAATAATAATAATAATAATAATAATAATTATTATTATTATTATTATTATTATTATTATTATGTCATTTTTTATCATATATATATATATATGTACTATTAAAAAGTTTAAAAGATATATATTTATTGGGAGGGTGTGAAGCTTTCATACTCTACTAAACTATTAAACTATAACATAAAATTAAAAAATAATAGACCAACGGATGTACAATATTAATTTCAGTTTTATTCTTAGCATGTGTAAATAGTTTTTTTTAATTTTTTTTTTTAATTTTCATATTTTAATTTAATGTAATAATATTCATGTAAATAAATATAAATTTAAATGTACTTATAATGTTTAATGTAGTCAAATTTACTAATATAAAATAAATTGTATATTATGTATTTAGATGAATAAATATGACAATATATATATATATATATATATATATACAAGTGGACGAATAGAGTATAATTTACCTTCGCAATAATAAACTTTGGTCGTGTACATAAATTTCTATACATACAATCACTAACTTCATTTAGAAAGTAAAAATGGATTCCTTAAGACAGCAAACATCGATCACTTACATTATTCTCTCACTAGTCTTAAACATGAAATGTCCAAACAAACAAAATGCCTTTCTTTCCAAGTAGAGTAATTTCAGTTTCAAGTCTCCCAACTTTTCTACTTTTTACCTAATAATTTAGAGTTACACAAAAGCTTTGAACACACACACACACACATATATATATATATATGTATGCCTATATCTTCTTCTCACTTTCTGAAGTAGGAACAAAGCAAAGGAAAAAAAAAATGAAAAAAACTTGAAATAGTTCCCTTTGCAATGGGGAGGATGTTGCGAACCGATGTTTTTGCGATGATCGTGGTGTTGTCGATGGTTTTATCTTCGGCTCGCGCGAAAGTTTCATATGATGATAAAGCCTTCATAATCAATGGGAAGAGAAGGATCCTAATTTCGGGCTCCATTCACTATCCAAGAAGCACTCCTGAGGTGCTGTGTTAAATTCAACACAGCCGTGTGTTTTGATCTTAATATCATCTTACATGCATATATGTATGTATATATTTATATTTCACTTAGGACATTGTTTGTTGGATATAGATGTGGCCTTATCTTATACAAAAGGCTAAAGAAGGAGGATTGGATGTTGTCGAGACATACGTGTTTTGGAATGGCCACGAGCCGTCTCCCGGGAAGGTAATTAACCCGACCACTAGTATTCTAGCGAGCATCGTGCACTTGTCTTATACACCTTTTGATCTTTTAAGAAATCATTCGACTCGGTTTAATTGTGTTTTTAATTATAACTTTGTACTATTAAAAAAAATTCTAAAGGACATAAAAATAAACGCGTAGTTTTCATTTAAAATATTGTATAAAAACATCGATTATTTATTAAAAATATTACATTATACTTCTCCTATTTTACATAAATTGTCCTCATTTTTCATTTCAAGTCCTTATAATTTGTTCTTTTTTTCTTTTTTAGAAAATAATTATACATTTTAATAGCATTTTAAACTTTATACTTTATAATTCTTTCTAATCTTAATTAAAATAATTAGTTCTTAATCTATAATTATTTTTACAAATATACTTCTTACTTATTACTAATTATAATCTTCCAACCGGATAAGTAAGGTGGGATGAACGAAATATTTATTTTCATTCAAAAATTTACTATTCCTTCCGTCCGCCATATTTAGCCCATTTGGGCTTGGCATGGGAACTAAAAAAGAAAAGAAAATTTTATTGAAAAAATTAAAAAAAAGTAAAAAAATAATTCGGGATATTTTTGAAATTTTAATTAGTAATTAAAAAAAGTAAAAGAATATAATAAAGTTAGTGACATTGGTTATAAATAAGTATTAAACGAATGATAATAATTAAATATTGCTTTTTTTGTTTTTTCAAATATAATAATTAGGTAAATTTAACGGAATGACAGAAAAAGAAAAATGAAAATAAATTTAACAGGCGGAAGAAGTATTTTTAAAATAATTCAAAATATTAAAGTACTTCCAAAATACTACTGAGCAAACTCGTTATATTTTTTATGTAGTATAACTTCCAAGGGCGATTCGATCTTGTCAAGTTCATCAAACTAGCACATCAAGCTGGCCTTTACGTCCTCCTACGCATCGGGCCTTATGTTTGCGCCGAATGGAATTTTGGGTAATACACGACTTAAGAGTTATTTTTTCTTTGCCATCCTTCATGATCATACAATTCACGAGTTCTCTTGACGATTTATTTTTGTGCGCTACGCCGTATGCAGGGGATTCCCGGTGTGGCTAAAATATGAACCCGGAATCGAATTTAGAACAAACAATGAACCATTCAAGGTTTTGGACTCTTACCAAATTAATTAGTTAACTCTGCATTTATGTCCTTAAAAATGAATTGATCATAAGGGACTGTGTTTTAAGGTTGCAATGGAAGGCTTTGTCAAGAAAATCGTCGAAATGATGAAATCGGAACGATTGTTTCAGCCTCAAGGAGGGCCAATAATTATGTCACAGGTTCAGCCTAAGCTTCTCTTCTTTTTCATCGATAAATTTCCTCTTCTGTAAATTTTATTACCATTATGCAACGAGACATTACAGATCGAGAACGAATATGGCCCCGTGGAGTGGGAAATCGGCGCCCCTGGTAAAGCTTACACGGCGTGGGCAGCAAAAATGGCCGTGAGACTCAACACCGGCGTTCCATGGATCATGTGCAAACATGAGACCGCGCCCGATCCCATTGTATCAAAATCTTTCACTTTTCTTACATTGTCTTTATCATTGAGATAATTTAGTCGAATCAAAATGTCCTTTTATTACATGTATGTATATATATGTGTGTGTGTGTTGCGTGCTAAAATTCCGGTTAATTCTTACAGATAGATACTTGTAACGGCTACTACTGCGAAGGCTTTCGCCCTAATAAGCCGTATAAACCGAAAATGTGGACTGAAGTATGGACAGGATGGTAAAAACCTTGATCGTAAAAAAAATGAACTAAATTACTACAATTACATTGTTCATACAATTTTTCACAGGTTCACACAATTTGGAGGGCCTCTTCCAAATCGCCCGGTCGAAGACTTGGCTTTTGCAGTCGCGAGATTTGTTCAAAACAACGGCTCCTTCTTCAATTATTACATGGTTTGTCCGAGTCTGCAATCTTCTCTTAGGCTGCATATTTGTAAATTCAATCTGAGTTTTTTTTTCTTGTTTCTTTTTGCAGTACCATGGAGGAACTAACTTTGGTCGAACAGCTGCTGGTCGTTTCATTGCCACGAGCTACGATTACGATGCTCCATTAGATGAATATGGTAAGTAATGTAAAAATTTGATCATCGAATGTATATTGCTCAAATTGCTTCAAGAAATTATACAACATAGGACTTCTGAACGAGCCAAAATGGGGGCACTTGAAAAATTTGCACAAAGCTATCAAGCAATGCGAGCCGGCTTTAGTTTCGTCGTATCCCACAGTCACTTGGCCTGGAAGAAATCAAGAGGTAGATTTGATCGAACCATACAATGTCTCATCAATTCGCCTTCGAAACTCTGCATCTAAGACATATTTCTTCCTCTGTTTAAGGTTCATGTCTTTAAATCAAAATCGGGTTCTTGTGCCGCGTTCCTTTCCAACTTTGATTCAACGTATTCGACCAAGCTCTCCTTCGCCAACAAGCAATACGACTTGCCTCCATGGTCGATCAGCATTCTCCCCGATTGCGAAACCGAAGTCTACAATACTGCTAAAGTAAGTGTTGAGATATTTTAGATATTCAGTTTTAAATTTAGTATAATTTATATTTAGATTCCGTTCTATAGATTAGTTTACTTAGATTTGAGTCTATTTTGTATTGTCTACCCATAGGCCCTTTATTTTGATAATTAATAAGACAATTTCATTATTTTCCCCCAAAATTTCTAACAGTAAGAAAAAGACAAAATTTTAATCGAATGTTTTTTATTTTTCTCGACCGTTTCTAATTCTTTACTTTGCAGATTACGGCTAACTCATCCACGGCGAGGATGAATCTCGTCAACAACAAATTTTTGTGGCAGTCATTTAATGAAGAGACACCATTTATAAACGACGGCGACACGCTTGCAATGCAAGCTCTATGGGAGCAAGTGAATGTTACGCGAGATTCTACCGATTACTTGTGGTACTTGACTCAGTAAGTTAATCCGTAATCACTCTTGCGACGCAATCTAAACTTTTTTTCTTATATATACGACTAAGTTTGCGGCGCAATGGTTGTAGAGTTGATATAGCCTCGAGCGAGGGATTTTTAAAGACAGGCGAATGGCCGGAGCTCGTAGTTATGTCCGCAGGCCATGCCCTACATGTTTTCATCAACGGAAAGTTATTCGGTACGGTACTCAAGTCGGCACATTTTTATTTTTTTTCTAACCGCGGTATATATGTCGCTTCGCTAAAGTATTGATGCGATTAATATTTTTATATTTGGTCAGGTACTGTATACGGGGGATTGGAAAATCCAAAGTTGACATATACGGGCAAGGTGAACTTGACGGTCGGCGTTAATCAAATTTCTTTGCTTAGTGTCGCCGTGGGACTACCGGTTTGCTCGTTCGATTGCTCAAAATATTCGATTCTCCATATAATTGGCTTTTTATATGATTTAAATACGCGATGCTGCGCAATTTTGTTGTTGTATGGATCGATGTTAGAATGGTGGTTTGCACTTCGAGACGTGGAATGCTGGAGTGCTCGGTCCTGTCATGTTACGAGGTTTGAACGAGGGGACGAGAGATTTGTCGAAGGGGAGATGGTCATACAAGGTTTGTTTTGTAAGAATATTGTCCGAAAATTCGATCCAAACCCATCCTAAGATTGAAAATGTTTTGCATCTTGTCGATAGGTTGGCTTGAAAGGCGAAACGCTTGGCCTTAACACAATCACGGGAAGCTCTTCGGTCGAATGGACACAAGGATCGTTCTTGTCTCAAAATCGGCCTCTAACATGGTACAAGGTAAGCTCGATTACATCAAAGATTACTTTTTATACTATTCTATCAACAATAGAATAAAAAAATTAATAATAATAAAATCACATTAACTATTTATATATATCATCTAAAATTATATATATCAAATACTCATCTTTTCACTATTTCTTAATATTTCAAAATTTAAAAATCTCTCGTAACCATGGCTTTATTTATATATAGTTTTAGAAGTTCTATTACTATTTATTAATATTATTTTTTAAAAAATAGTAATAAAACACAAAAAATATATGTATTTACAAAATATTATACTACTTCGTCCGATTCTAAGAGTCTCATTTAGTTTTTACGTGTTGATCTTTGAATATTAATTATTATATCAAATCGTAGTATGAATTAAGAAAAAAATGTAAAACTACTTCCATTAGTGTCTTATAATACTAATAGAAGGACATCTGTACAAAACAATCGTACAAATATAAGGATATTTTTAATATTAAATATAATGACGCAAAATGTAAATGTGACCACCCTTAGAGGCGTACGGAGGGAATATAAAATATCATTTTTTGTTGTTATTTTCAATTTATTTATTTATTTATTTTAATTTCAAAAACTTTTATAATTAGTTTTACATTACCATCAATTTTCACTTGTGAACCTTTTAGACAACATTCGATGCCCCAAAAGGCGATGATCCGGTGGCACTCGACATGTCGAGCATGGGAAAAGGCGAAGTATGGGTGAACGGACAAAGTATTGGCCGGCAATGGTCCGGATACATAGCGAAAGGCAATTGTGGTGAATGCAACTACGCCGGCATATTCACCGATACAAAATGCCAAAAGGGTTGCGATCAACCATCTCAAAAATGGTAAGACACAAAATCAAAAAATAAAAATAAAAATCGATCATTTCGAAAAAAAAAAAAAAAATCATCAATATGTATTATTCATAAAAATTAAAGAGTTTCTTCGAAAATGTTAAGCTACCCTTTAGCGAGAAATATATATATATATATAAGATAATTTTTTAAAAAAAAAAATTAAACAAATAAAATAATTTTTTCATTAATCAAATTGTTTTATTTAGGTACCATATTCCAAGATCTTGGTTAAATCCCAAGGGAAACTTGTTGGTGGTGTTTGAGGAGTGGGGAGGCAATCCAAATAAAATTTCCTTAGTTAAACGAACAGTAGTGTATTCGAGCACACACAATGCATCATTATCGAATTTATTTATGCCAAAAATGAGTATCAAATAATTAAGGCCATAGCTAATAAAGTTCATCTTCCAATAATATTTTGGATGAAATCATTTTTGCATTTTGTTGATGAATTTACACTGGATTGTAAGCCCATTAATTAGGCTATGCCATGGGCCCTTGAGAATATTTATTTACATTTTATTTTACTCTTACCTACTTATTCATCACAATCAAACAAACTTTTTTTTTCAAAATATTTTATCCTAAACTATTCCTTACACTAAAAAAAAAAAAAAAAAAAAAAAAAAAAAAACTAAACTAAACTTCCAAACAAAAAAAAAAAAACATGCTAAATTCAATTCCTCGTGTTTTCATTTAATTTAGGTATTTACTAAAAAAATTTCACTTAAACTATACTATTAAAAACTAAACAAACACATCTATATATATTGAAAAACTAAACATTTATCAAAATCCTAAGTATTTAAAAAAAAAAAAAAAACAAATAACAATAATGATTTGGAATTGAATTTGAGAATTCAAAACTAATGCTAATATAAATTTGATTTCTTGAAATTGTTAACTTTGAATCATCCAAATCTAAATATTTTTTCTTCTTTTTATTTTTTTAAGTTTTATCTTTTATTTATTTATGTTTTTATAAAACACATTCAATGGTAGATCCAAATTCCAATTAGTCGTATAAGTATTATTAACGACTGTTGATCTATTTATCCTATACTCTCCTAGTTTTAAATATTTTGTTAGTGTTTTTAATTTGAGATATTCCGAAATCTTAACAATTTGTTAATTCATACTTAATTTTTTTTATTTTACAATTTTAAAAAATCATTCTTAATAATGGATTGAATAGATTATTCATGTCAATATTGCACATTCATTTTCGAAAGTCCTACTGAAAGAATTCTAGAGTAGCATGTTTGCTCTAGAGTAATCCCTGGGAAGTCTCTCAGGGTACGCGTGAGTGACGACAAAGCGCGCACGAAAGGACTCATGTTGACCTGTGGGATCAGTCTGCAATCCTGACCATCTCGCCTTTGTGTGGCTTGCGGGTCGGGGTATCACACCCTGCTTAATTGTTAATTTGTGCCATTGCCTTTTGGGAATCATCCAGGCGCCTAGATGCTAGCATATGTTTGTGCTTGGGAGGATGTAGTTCATAGTGTGCTTGTAATCAAAGTGAGTGGCCTTGTATGTGCGGGGCTCCAAAGTATATTGCAACTTTATCTTCGACATACAACTGGTTGTTGTTTCATCTATTGTCCTTAATTTTGCAACTTTATGGGATTTTCTAATATTCTATGAATTATTTTTTGTGTTTTCTGAATAAAGTACATTCCAAGTTCTGTATTTTTCCTTGTTGCAACAATATTCAATGTACTTATGCATTGTGGATCATTTTTCATTTTTGCTTTGCATCTTAATTCTGACGCCGAATCCATTTTATGTGTGTATCCACAATAGAACTCGTACGCCTCATTGGGTGTACTAAATTCAAAATGTCTCCAATTAAATAAATTTACGAAAATGTAAATATTATTTAATTAATTATGTGTTATAGAACAACATATATTCCAAAAGTATATATGGCAATACCACAACACAAATATATATATATATATATAGGGATGAAAAACAAACATCAAATAGGCTTGATATAGTGCCATTAAAAATGAGACAACCAGGACGAGTACGAGGAAAAAGACAATGGGACAACGACAATGAGGACATGAGGACAAGCAGGCCCGTAGGGCATTTGAATTAGGTTTTTAAATCTTGTTACGTAAATGATAACTGAATTGGTGTGGTAGGTGAACTTATTGTGACTGTGAATTTACAATTCAAAATCTCTCGACGCTCTCTTGATATTATTTTTTACATAGGACATGTTTAGTGTAACTTATATTACGTAATTTTCAGGATTTGACCCAATCTATGAGCCCGCAACTCTAATTCATTGCCCAATCCAAAACTCCAAATACCAGTTTTAGAAAAAATTTCATTAAACCAATATATTTCTCACACACTAGAGTTATATTTGAAAAAGATAATTATTTATCTATTCAACCCATAAATTTATTCTCCACTATTAAATTTTTAAAAGTTAAATGTTTTATTCAAATTGAGTTTTAAAATTTCCTCAAACCAAGAATTAATTCCAACTCATTATGTGACACACGTAGACTCCCAAAAAAAAAATGTGCATATTTTTAACCTAAATGATTTATTCAATTCATTTAATCTTTTATCAACTCCGAGATATCACGTATTATTACTAAGTTGACACTTTCATTAATCAAAATATCAAAGTTGATAATAATAATAATAATAAGTGTTTGTTTGGGGTCTTTTATTTTAAATTTTAATTTAAATAGTAAAATTTTAAATTTGAATAATTGTTTGGCGTGATACAATCAAATAAAAATTAATGTAATGATTTGATTGTAAAAATAAGTGTAATATAAAAAATAAAAAATAAATATTTAATTTGATAATTTTGAAAAAAAAAATGGTAAATAGTGGGAAGCAAATCAAATAACTGAAGCAATTTATCTAGTGTAGAATATTTCTTACATTTATAATTCATATACTTATGTTATGCAATATATAAGTTTTGTTTACTTATGTTTAAGCATGTTTAGCACTATTTTATATATACATATATATATATTAATTAGAGAACTCGCAACTATTATTATTTGAGTCTGTTCCGATAAACTTCCAATCGAATCAAACAACTTACAAGTTAGGCCTCACAAAGGACTGAAGGCGTCGAAAGTTTCATAATTACGAGTTCATCTCACACTACTTGATCATTCTTTAAGGAAACATGGAAACATGATTCACACTTGATTATACTAAATTTTGGCTAAACAATATGCAAAACATTTGTGGAAGTGGATCCCACAAGTTGTTAATGTAATAGTACAATATATAAATAGTTATATATTAATTATATCCTAATTAATAATGTATAAACACTTCTTTTTTTTTTTTTTACTATATAAAATTTTATTATTTTATAGAATAGCATGCATATTAACTCTATTTTAGTTTTCATCTAAGATATTACATCAAAAATTTATTTTTACACCATCAATGAATACCATAATTATTACAATCTAAAAAAAAAATAGTATATTTGTAACGGAATTCCGTCGCTAAAGATCACGTAGCTAATGTAATTTCATCTTTAATTCCGTCTCTAATATCATTAGTAACGAAAAAAACGAATTTAATGACGAAAAAATCTTGTTACAAAAATGATATTTTCTTTGTAGTATATGAAACATCTCCAAGAACACATCCTAAATCTAAAGTAATTTAAAATAACTATTTCCCAAACATTTACAAAATACCAAAAATCGTATATATATATATATATATCATATAAAATTCACAAGTCGATGAATCAATTTTTATTTGATTGTGCCATTGAACAGATGAAATGGATCAACAGCACTAATGACCAAATATTTCTTTAATTGTGTTTAATATATTTTTATAATATTCATCAAACCCTTACAAAGTTATTTTTTCAATATTATTTTTTTTGAAAATAGCTCTTAATTATTCAAAATATTGCATAAAAAAAATGCTAATATTACATCAAAAAATTTATTCCATTCAAAATTATACTCCCTCCGTCCCACATACAGTGTATGCTACACTGTAGACACGGTATTTTAGGAGGAGTGTAATTAGTAGATAATTAAGAATGTATTAGTGAAAATAATTATCCTTATAATATAAATAATTATAAATTAAGATTAAGATAACTAATTAGTTTAATTAAAATTAAAAAAAAATTAAAAATTTTAAAATGAGATTAAAGTGTGTAATCATTTTCCAAAAAAAAAAAAGTGACATGGAATGTGGGACGGACAGAAACGGCAACATAGATATGGTATGTGGGACGGAGGGAGTAATATTCATCAAACACTTAAGAATATGTTACGTTCACTTAGGCTATGTTCTTTTGTAGATTTTTACACAGATTTTTACTATTCACGTCCTTTTTTTCTCCAAAAATATCAAATCAAATAATTATTTTTCTTTTTTTATATTAAATTACAAATTTATTTTACATTCAAAACATCACATCAATATCAATTTATATTGTATCAAACAACTATTCAAATTCAACTTTTTACTGTTTGTAAATCCAAATTCAAAACTCCAAACCCACGAACAATCACACCCTTAGTGTTTATTTTTAAACGATTTTCTAAAAGTATTATCTAAAAATTATACTTCATGTATCATCCAAATATGTGTTCAAATATTTGAATACGAGTTTTAATAATTAAAAAATATATATAATAATTGTTATTTTTTGTCTTTTATAGTAAAAAAAAATAATATATTTTTTACTAAAAAATAAACGAATGTACTTTTTGACAATGCAAAAAATAAAATAAATATAAATTTGAATGATTGATGGAATAATATCTACACAAATGTCAACAAAAAAATACAAAATATTTTTCCCTATAATACTTTTACAATCTATCATACATCATAAAACAAAAATATTTAAAAGTATAAACACTATAAAAACACACTTTAATTGTTTATATTTTAAAAAATAGTGGTTGAATGTGTGTTGTTTAATAGAAACTAAAAATGTGATCCCTTCGTACCAACTTAATGTAATTTTTTTTTTTTTATCATTTTTGTTGTCTTACTAAAAAGATATTTATTTTTTTATTTTTATAAAAAAATCATTCATTTTACATTGTAGGGACTAAAATATCAAAATTATCTACTATTGAAACATCATTACTTTTAATTCACTAAAAAAAATAAAATGGTACATTCGATAAGAACGGGAAGACTATATTTTAATAAAATTTTGTGTAAATAAGCAAATTAGATAATGAAAATTTTGAAATAAAATATATATATATATATATATTCATGGGGAAGGTTCGACATCATATTAATTAGTAAGTCGATAAGCATTGGTTCCAAGAAAATTGTGGTTGTGATTAACAATATTTTAGTTTGATCGTGACAACCAAAATAATTGAATTAAACGTAGTTGTAACTACTGTTCCTAAGTTAATAAAATTAATCGTATTTTAAAACATAAATCTAAGATCAATTCGTACACGTATCACTAACATTAAATATGTCTACTCTCGCTTGTCATCTTTGAATATCAATTTTTGGCACCAAATAAGTAGGGTGGGCACGGTTCGGATATTTGCAAATATGCAGGTATTTGATATCCGAATCGAATCGAACATAACAAATATCTGAAATCGTGAATCGTATTCGAACCGAATTTTCGGTTAATCGAAAATATTTGCAATATTTGCAAATAATTCGAACCGAATTGAAATTTAAAAATAATTAAAATTCTAATTAAATCAAAATATTTGCAAATATTTTAAATATCTGAACCGTAACCGAATCGAATATAATTATTAATATAAAATTTAAAATATAATAACATAAATATATAAATATATTCGGTTCGGTTAACCGAACCGACAAAAATATAAAAAACCGAAATTGAACCGAACCGAACAAATATCAAATATGCAGTATTTGTATTCGAACCGAATTTGCTCGGTTAACCGAAAATTCGGTTCGATTCAGTTCGGTTCAGCTGTTCGTTTCGATTTTTTTGTCCACCCCTACCAATAAATTTGAGTATATATACTTAGTGAATTTTTTAAATAAAAGATTGAAGGTGATCTTTTGTTAAAAACAAAAAAAAAAAAGAAAAAATAAATAAATAAATAAATAATATAAATATAGTTTTATAGAAAATTGAATGATTATGTAGTAAAATTAAAATTAAGAACACATTTATATTATCCCATTTTTTAAGTGTAAATCAATGCATGAAAATTAAACTATATCATTCTATAAATACTAATATGTTTGTTTACATTTTTTTTATTTAGTTTTTGAACTATATATTATCATATATATTCTTCTTTAAAAATTAAATACAACACTTATATTCATTCAAATTTATAATATTTTCACAATAATCATCCAAAAGTATATTTAATACAATGAACATAAAGTAAAATAAATCGAGTTGTTGCAACAAACGCCAACGGTGATTAAGATGTTTATAAAGTATACGAAGGATAAGTGTTAGTCCGAAACAATTAAGGTAATGAATTAGGTGCCGACGTAAAAGACTTGCAAGTATATATCGAATTATCGTGATCCATGCTTATATTTTAATCGTAATTTTTAAATATATATAAGTTTATTTGAGTCAAAAAATCATATATATATATATATTTTTTTTTCGCCAATGAATTTATTAATCTTTTATTCTATTGAATAAGATCTTTATTGACATAATCGTATAAGTTTATATTAAATTTTGTATTAATATGTATTTTTATGTTTGTTACACATAATATTTAAGTTCCATTTATTAATTAACTTATGGATAATAAATAATCATGTGTAGTAAATATATAATACACCATTGATAAATTAAAACAATAGATGCAATTGCCTTACAGATTCAAGAGTTGACCCTTGTCGTCTGGTAAGAAATGGTTGAGTTCCTGTGACATCAAAAATATTCCCTCCGTCCCAGATACCATGTCCACGTTGCCGTTTCTGTCCGTCTCACATACCATGTCACTTTTTTTTTTTGGAAAATGATTACACACTTTAATCTCATTTTAAATTTTTTAATTTTATTTTTTTTAATTTTAATTAAACTAATTAGTTATCTTAATCTTAGTTTATATTATAGAATAATTATTTTCACTAATACATTCTTAATTATCTACTAATTACACCCCTCCTAAAATACAGTGTCTACAGTGTAGCAGACACGGTATCTGGGACGGAGAGAGTAATAATTTAAATTGTACTAATTTTTTTTTTCGTTTTTTTTTTTTTTTTTTTTTGAGAAATTACTTATTACCTACTTATAGTTTGAAAATTCTGAATAATTATCTCTTATAATTTAAAAATTATATGATTTTGTTTTTGTACTTTTCAAATATTAAACAAAATCTTTTTTTAAGGGATTCTAAGTATGTAATTTCTATTACTCCCTCCGTCCCATAAACATGTATCTATTTATTTTTTTTTTAGTAACTGTACTCTCTACCAACATTACAAATACCCCTACAACTTACAATATATTACACAAATGTCATTACCTACATACTAATAAGGTTATTTTAGTCATTTCTACTTTATTCCTACTATATCCAAATATAATACTAATATTTCTAAAATTACTTGCAAAAAGCAAATGGATATTTAGTTATGGGACGAAAGGAATATATTACAATAAAATCATATTAATATTAAAATACTCTTAATTTTTATATAAATTATAAATATACAATTAATTTACACTAATGAAGTACTCCTTTGGTATTACGAAGATGCAACATTTTGATTCGGAGATATGAATTTAGCTGGATATAATAAAGTGAGAATTATGTGATGTGATGTGACGTGACGAGAGAGAAAAATGTATATGTTTTTTTGTTTTTTAATGAATGGGAACTCACAGCCGCTACACGAAAGTGCGTACTATGTAAACATCCGGCCGAACCTAATACCCTGCAAACTAAGTCCGACAGGCAAATCACACTAGGCGAACCACGTGTGGCAAGTGACCTGAACAAAAATGTATATGTATTTTCTATTTGAACGATGTGATGAGAAAGAAAAATGTATATGTACCCTAATCCTAAAGAACTTTAGTTTTCCAATAAATATGTAATCCAAGTTTATTTATTTTCATTATACCAAAACTCAATTAATTAGCTATGTTAAAGTATGTTTTTATTATTATTATTATTATTATATATATATATGTGTGTTAGAATTCTTTCTAAAAAGAATATATCCTATTAAGATTTTTTCCATTTAAAATATTCTTTCAAAAACATATGTTAGAATTCTTTCTAAAAAGAATATATCCTATTAAGACTTTTTCCATTTAAAATATTCTTTCAAAAACCAATTCTCTAATTTTCTTTTTGACGACATGAAAATCAAGCTTTAAATAAACTTTCGATCGAATTTAATAATCTGCAAATTACGCCTAATGAGGTAAGTCAAACTAAACGAACAATGTGGGACAAATATTTTTAATATATTGTTTGTAACTATGTGTAAGATTGTATATACTGTATTTTCTAAGTTATTTTATTAGATAATGTTGAATTTACACTATTTGTATTTATATGTATTCTTGACTATATATTAATAGTTGTTGATATCTACATGTAATCAATTAACATTGTCAATAAAAAATATATATACTATTTTTTTATAAAATATTAAATCCAAATATTATTTAAGCAAAATTTTGATTCTAAAATCTCATTTTAAATTAATTTTAAACTATAACCAAATAACATTTTAATCCAAGAATGTTCCTTAGACTAAAATTGGATTCAATCAACTATGGTTTAAAAGAAATTGAAACCCTAAATCTTCAATCGACCCGTAAAAACAAGCAATCGAAATTCCCGATACATAAAACAATTGTTAAAGTTCACATCCCATCAAATTCACTTTAAAACCCTTGTTTGTTTCTTTATCCAATTTTTCCTAAATTTTACTATTTTAACTCTGTATTTTTTTTTAAAAAAAATACATTTTTCTCTCTTACAAAATATCCCATCAAACATTACTTTAATACCAAACTCAAAATCAATTTTTTCCAAACCCAACAAAAAAAAAAAAAAAAAAAAAAACACACCCTAGGATAACTTTTTAATTAATCCAAAAATTATAAACTAATCAAATTTTAATATATATATATATACTCCTCCGTCCCGTTGGAATATGGCGTTTCCTTTTTGCACGTAGATTTGTAAATATTAGTATTATATTGGATTGTAGTAAAAATAAAAAATAAAAAAAAAATCTTAGTAATATAAAAGTAATGACATTTGTATAACACATTGTAAATTGAAATGAGACGAGAGGGATTATATTAGGTAAGTATCGTAGGAGTTGATAATATACCAACAAAAGTAAATGCTTGTCGTCTTCGATTACTGCACATCAAATAAAATAAAATAAAATAAAGCAGAGATATTCAATTAATAAGTGCCATAAAATAATAATAATAATAATAAACATAGAGAACAAAGATCCCTTGCAGGTGCAGGTAAACATTATCAAATCACATCTACATATTTATTCCTTAGGTCCCATAATTTTCGTTATATTTCTTTTTTGTACAGTCTTTTAAACAGTAGACTTAAGTTTTAATTATTAAAATTTTTTACTCCTTCAGACTAGAGTGTGCTTAAAATTTTTAAGCATAATTTTTTTTAAAAAAAAAAATAATATTCGAATATTATTTTTATTTTATATAGGGTAAAATTGGAACTTTAATTTGATTAGTTTATAATATTTGGATTAAAATAGGTGGGTGTAAAAACCTACATGGAATCTACACTTTCTCAATATTATAAATAAATATATACTTTTATGGATAGGGAAGTATTTTTATCTTTTTTGTACTTATACAATAAATAATTTAATAAATTATATCTGAAATGATAAAAGTGAAAAAAATGTTTAGGAAAAAAGAAATTATCGAAGTTTTGGAATATTTCAAATTAAAAATAATAGCAAAAATTTTATAACGACCCTTATATATACACATCCTGCTGTAACTCGTCCTCGCCTATCCAGACAACCTCTACACACAATTTTTTCTAAGTTGTTCGATTCTCTCCTCTTCCTTTACTTTTTCCAAATATATATATATATATATATATATACACATTAAATAAATAAATAAAATACCAATCTGCAATAGCAAACCTCAGCACAAAAAAAAAAAAATGGTGACCAAAAGGCCCAAAATTGTGATCATCGGCGCCGGAATGGCTGGCCTCACCGCCGCCACCAAGCTCTACTCAGCTTCCCACCTGTCGGAGCTTCCCTTCGACCTCTCCGTCGTCGACGGCGCCGCCAGAATCGGCGGCCGGATCAGCTCATCGGAGTTCTACGGCGACCGGATTGAACAGGGCGCCACGTGGATCCACGGAATCCACGGCAGCCCCGTCTACAAAATCGCCGGCGACACCAATTCTCTCAACTCCGATCAGCCGTGGGAATGCATGGACGGAATTCCGCCCCGCCCCGTCACCGCCGCCGAAGGCGGCCACCGCCTGAATCCGCTGCTCGTCGATCCGATCTCCCGATTTTTCAAAACCCTAATGGACTTTGCTCAGGGGAAAAAATTTTCCGGCGGCCCGGATCCCGACGTCGAGGCCGCCCGTCGGGCGGCCTCTGATAATCCCCTGAGCCTCGGCACATTTCTGCGCCGAGGGCTCGAGGATTATCGGATTGGCCGGAATAATATTACGAGAGTTGGGTGTTGGGCCGAGAAATCCTTACAAGAAGGAATCTTTGCGATGCTCGAGAGCACGCAAAGAACATTCACTTCCGCGCCCGATTTAGAAAATCTTGATTATTTTGCGGAAAAAGAGTACGTAATGTTTCCTGGCGAAGAAATTACTATTGCCCGGGGCTACTCGGCCGTGATCGAAGCCTTAGCCTCGACTCTACCGGCCGGGACAATCCAATTAGGCCTGCGAGTCAAAAAAATCGAGTGGCGTCGGATAAATGACCTTATTGGAGCCGAAGAATTTTTTGGGTTGAGGCCCGTTAAGCTACATTTTGAAGACGGGTCGATTATGAAGGCCGATCATGTGATCGTGACGGTATCTCTTGGGGTTTTGAAACACGGCATCCGCGACGATGTTAGTCTTTTTGACCCGCCGCTACCCGAGCGAAAAACTCAAGCAATTTCGCGGCTCGGGTACGGCGTCGTCGACAAGGTGTTCCTCCGGATTCGGGATAAAAATTTCCCCTTTTTACAAATGGTATTTCATCCATCGAATTCTCGATATAGAGATCCCAAAATTCCTCAATGGATACGAAGGACATCGTTTGTATCCCCGATTTATAGGAATTCGAGAACCCTAGTTTCCTGGTTCACCGGAAAAGAAGCATTGGAGGTCGAATCCCTGCCGGAAAATGACATCATCGCCGGATTCACTGCGACGGTGTCGAACCTCCTCCCCCAATCGAGCACCTGCAGGTGCAGTAATGGCGGCGACGGCGGAGGTCAGGATCAATTCAATTTCGAAATTGATAGGGTTTTGAGGACACAATGGGGAACGAATCCTCTCTTCCTAGGATCTTACAGCTACATCGCCGTCGGATCGACGACGCAGGACATGGACACTTTGGCCGAGCCATTGCCATCGCCGGCCGGCGGAATCAGTGATTCCGACGAGACGCCGGCGCCGGCGCCGGCTCCATGGAAGCTGCAAATCCTCTTTGCAGGAGAAGCTACACACAGCAAGCATTATTCGACAACTCATGGAGCTTATTTCAGTGGCCTCAGAGAAGCCAACAGACTCCTCCAACACTACCATTACGACATTATTGGCCCATGATTATTTAATTTTTTTTTTCTTTTTTTTATCTGTTAGATCTTTTAGTCAGTCAGGTCATTTCATATATATATATAATACATATTTGGTATGGCTTTCTTCTTCAATTTTTTGTTTTGATTCCTTTTGTTTTTGTTGTTGTTGTCCTTGCGATGTTGATGAAATTCAATTAATTAAAGGAAATTAATTAGTTGTTTAATTAATTAATTAATTAAAATTAGGTTTTTATTATTATTATTTCATCCGTCTGATAACAAATATTCATTTTTTCATTTTAGTCCATCTCATAACATAATAACAAAGTACTCATTTTTTTTTTTTTAAGTAAGTGTACTGTCTACCTAACATTACAAATACCCTTACAATTTATTTATAATATATTTTTAAAACTATGTGTGAAAAACAAATAGATATTTACTTATGGGACGGATGGAGTATTATTATTATTTTTTTTTAATGAGCGTATTGGGCATAGATATTATTGTTGGAGAAGACAAAGGCAAAATGGTTGGATCTTATTTAGAATCGAAAAGCACTGTCAGAGAAGAAGACAGGATCCGCAAAACTCGGCTGCCATTTTTCGTCTTCATTCTTCAAATAATAATCAAGGATAAAATATTTTCGATTTTTATTTAAATTTTTTATTATAAAATTATTACTGTAATTTTTTATAAAAATATGCAATTTTTATTACACAATCTTATATTTAAATAAAATATAAGAAATCAAATCAAATAAAACTCCAAAAAGAACATTATCAATCTTAAACCCTTCTGTTTATGTGATTAATTTTTTACTTTTTTTTTTTTTTATAATATTCTCTCCGTCTATATTTACTTTTTTTTTAATTATAATGAATAATTAAAAGTAATATAATGATATTTTTATTTTTATTTTTTTGTGTAAAAATTATGATATATTTACTTTAAATATATTATTTTAATAAAATATTTACTTTATAATTGGACGTCACAAATTAAAAATATATATACTTTCTACCTGGACGGAGAGAGTATAATTTTTAATAAAAATATTATCAAATATATTATTTAAATTAAAATCAAATAAACAAGCTCCAAAAATATGAATTTTAATTTATCTTACAACTATACTCTTTTTTTTTTTTTTTTTTTTAAATATAGAATCCAAAAAATTTAAAATACTCCTACATATTGAATAAATTTAAAAATCAAGTACAATAGTCTACAAATTTACGACAACTCGAAAAGTCACCCTACACAATAAGACAAACTATGTATGATTAGGAACACAGAAAGATTTAAAGGTGAATTTTATTTTACTATTTTTTTTATAACATAAAATTCCAACATAACTATTTTTGAAGTGTACATTTATTTATATAGTGATGAGTTTATAATATGTAATTTAGACACAAACTTAAATAGGCATAGCAAATATGTGTGAATGTATATATATATATATATATAATTAGTGTTGAATTTTATTTATAGGCTAAATTGCATAAAATCTACATGTGATTTCACGAAACTGCGTCAAATCTTCGTACTTTTAAAATTGCGTCAAACTTTCTCGTGGTTTCATAAACTCTGCATCTAACCTCGATAGTCCTTATTTAACGATATTTAACCTAAATGCGCCCAAATTGCAAATAAATTTTAGAATCTCAATTTCTAAATCTCTAAAGTTACAAATATATTTATTTTTCTTATATTTAGCCTAAAAAAAATAGTAAAAATAAACTTTTAAAACCTGTGAAAAAATAGTCTCAAAAAATAGTAAAAATAAACTTTTAAAACCCGTGAAAAATAACTATTTTTGAGTATATTAACTATTTTTTTTAGGCTAAATATAAGAAAAAATGAATATATTTGTAATTTTAGGGGTTTAGAAATTGAGATTATAAAATTTATTCGCAGTTTGAGCGCATTTAGGGCAAATACCGTTAAATAAGGACCGTCGAGGGGGTTAGACGCGCGCAGAGTTTATGAAATTACGATGGAATTTGACGCAGTTTTAAAAGTATAGAAGATTTAGCACAATTTTATAAAACCACAGGTAGATTCAGTGCAAGTTAGCCTTATTTATAAATCCAATTGGAACCCTTAAAAAATCGAAACGTGTCTCCCAAAATAAATGCATGGGTCCAAAAGCAATTAATTTATTTTATTCCACCATAAATTAATTTATAATATCATAATAAATATAAACCCTTTTATGACATATCTTTAGGCGACCAACGAGCTCAAACAAATGCTCAATCGGCCCCTCTTATGATATGCAAATCTCAATAACAATTTAATTTAATTTAGTTATCTCTAAAAAGAATTTTTTTTAATTTTCTTTATAGATTAATTACTACCAAAAATGCCGACGACATTAGCATTCTAATTATCCGAATACTTCGAAGGCTAAACTAATTCGTTCGACATGCTTATTGGCAATTGTTATAAATGATAACAACTAGAGTTGATAATAAAAGTCGAATAAGTTCAATATTGAATTTGATCCTGTTGAGATATTTTAGATATTCAATTTTAGATTTAGTAGATTTATATCTATATTTGATCTTATTCATAGATTAGATTACTTAGATTTGAGTCTATCGAGTCTGTTTTGTATTGTCTATATATAGGCTCTTTATTTTGATAATCAACAAGACAATTTTATTATTTTTCCCCAAAATTTCTAACAGATCCTAACTCATTTAGCTGGGATAGATTGAATTACTCGATTAAGACACCATTGCGCTTGTTTTGTATGAAAAAGTCTTTTTATTTTTTATTTTATTTTTTCAAAGTTTGTTGCGAATATTGATGTTGTCAATTTTTTTCAGATTCACCTCAAACGGTAATCTTTAAAAATATTGTCCCGACAAATAATTATTTTGTAACTAACAATGTTTAAATTAATATTGGAGGAACTTTTAAGAAAGATTCGATCGATATTTGTAAGATTATAATCAATTGACTAAATTATTAATATTCTCTTATGCTTTTGGTAAAAATACAAAAACTATTTGTGTTTATTTGTACGGCTTTTAATCTTTATTTTTACTATTTCAATTTTTCTTTTAAATATCAAATCAAATACTCATTTTTTATTTATTATATTACAGTAAAATTTAATTTTATATTCAAAATATCGCATCAACATATATTTATATTGTTTCAAACAACTATTTAATTTAAAATTTTACTATTCAAAACCAAAATCTTACAAGTAAACACAACCGAATCGTATTTTATTTATTGAATAGAACCCCTTTGTATTAAATTAATAAAATTGTACACAAAATACTTTCTTCGTCCAAAGCTAATGTTTACTTTCTTCGTCCAAAGCTAATGTTTGGTTGTATGTATGGACTTAATTATACTCCCTCCGTCCAACTAGAAAGTATACATATTTTTATTTTGGGACGTCCAATTACAAAGTAAACATTTTATTAAATACCTTACTTTTTTCCACAAATACCTTTACTTTATATCACATCATTACTTTTACATCAAAAGACAAGGGCAAAAATGTCATTACACTATTTTTTAACTACTCACTGTAATTAAAATACTATTCTTTCTTAAATACCGCGCCAAAAGTAATTGTATACTTTATTAGTGGACGGAGGGAGTACAAAGTTTATACAAATAAAAGAGATAAATATATTAAATAGTTTTTTTAATAAAATAAATAAATAAATAATTGATTAATCTTTTATTTTATAATTTTTTTAATATTTAGATAACAATTTGTCTCTAAAAATTAAAAAAATGAAGGATTAATATTTATTTATTTATTTATTTATTTTATTAAAAAAATATTTAATATATTTATTTTTTTATTTGTATAAAAATCCATATTGAAAATCAAATATCAGTTTTGGACAAAATATTTTGAGCAAATTTTAATTAAATACAAGAAGCTTGACATAATAAATAAAATATAAAATATTTTGTGTATTTTACAAAATACAACGAATATTATATAATTTAACCTAATAAATTACTTAAAATTATGTTTAGTATAAGTATGGAATATAACTTTTGTTTGCCCTTTATTTCAAATAATGAAATATTTGTTTTGCGTAGCTATCTGTGTGTGTTTGGGGATTACTAGTAAATTATTATTATTTAATTATTATTTTTTTAAAAAAAATATATCAATCAAATATATATATTATATTTAAAATTAATTTTATATTTAGAAAGTTACATCAGTATTAAGATAATACACCAGCTTTCATATTATTTTGAAGTATGAATAATTTCAGCAATATGAATTGAATATTATTATTTCCCCAAATACATCTTAAAATTTCTGGGTAAATGTTTCAATATTTATTTGAAATATATATATATATATGTATGCATTCTATTTATAATAAATCACTTAGGTCACCTATAATTTTATTAATTATATTTTAACAAATATTGTAGAAATTAGTAAATCAAGAAAAACAACAAAAACAGAAAAATTTATTAATTTAATTCCATCAGAATGATATACATCTAACAGTAATCAAGTCAAATATTTCTAATAGTATTTTCAGATGTAAATTATAAAAAGAATACATCAAATATATATTATAACATATAAATGGAAGTTTTGTACCTTCGCCACTTGAATTGACAATGTTACCCTTCAACCTATAAAAAAATAACATATAAATGGAAGTTTTGACGTGATCGCCCCGTCGTCGTTCATCCATCCTTTAACTTTTCACCTTATATAAAATTTTTTATTTTATAATTTAATTACGTTATAAAATTTAAAAATATTATAACTAATTATTAATTATAAAATACGTCCCACCATAATTGACACTATTTTTATTTTTGTCTGTCCCGTAATAATTGACACATTTCTATTTTTGGTAAAAATTATTAAATAAAAAACATATTTAACAAATATAAATCAACTTAATTAACTACATAACATATAACATCATAAATGACGTATGACTCACTCAAAACCCCTTTATTTCTATTTTTCTTTAAAAAATTAATATTTTTATCTATATTTCATTTTTGTCTGTCCCGTAATAATTGACACATTTCTATTTTTGGTAAAAATTATTAAATAAAAAACATATTTAACAAATATAAATCAACTTAATTAATTACATAATCTATAATATCATAAATGACGTATGACC